AGCCGCAAATGATCCTTCAAAGAGCCGCAGGGTGGCGACCTCTGGTATATAAAGTAATATAATAACCGTCAAGATTGCAAGTTATCCTGGTTCAAGAAACATTAATTCAAATTACACATAACATCACAAAGATAAGTGAACATTACGAATCAGGTTTCAAAACTTGCAAGTTTATTCAAGTCTAACACGCATTCAACTGGTAGTGCCAGATCCAAGAACAAGAAGTATTTATCATGAAAGATTTATGCCCTCTTTGGTGATTAAAATATATTGCCACGTAAAATTTCTTACACACTGGGCCCGGCTGAACAGTAGTTCAGAATAATCAAGATTATCAGCGATACATTAACATTCTCAAGAATTATTTTCTAGAATCATTATACATTTCAATACAAATTCAAGTTTTTTTAATCAAGAAATGTCACATAAACATCAAGAACATATAAACTTACCATACGTTTCAAGAATATCAAGTAAATTTTCATTCATCAAGGATTATTGTTATAACATTCCTGTTCAAGCATCAGGAATTTAAATCAAGAATTTATATAACTCAGGATAATATTAAGCAAATAACATTTCAATTATCTAACGAAAATACTAGAATTGTTACAAAAAACCTCTCTCTCTCTCTCTCTCTTTCTTTTTTTTTTTTTTTTTTTTTTCAGAATTAAATTAAATTTTAAATACACTTATATATTCTACAACCTTAAAAGATTCTAATATTATATATACATTTCTTTAAATATTAAATATACAATACTTTAAATAGCATTAAGATTACATTTTCAGTAGGAAATATACTATCACACAATATTAATACTCTTAGCATTCTAACTTAACTAATAACTGTAAAGGTCTCTTTATAATGCCTTTTTCACAACTGTGAATTAGTCCATCTCTACCAGTAAAAATTTTGAAAACCTTTCCTAATCTCCACATGTTATGTGGTAAATGTTCATCGTGTATTATGACGATATCGTTCACACTCAAGTCGTGTTTTGCACGGTAATTGTTCACACAATTTGCAGATTTCAGATTCAACAAATAATCTTTATAAAAGATTTTCCAAAAGTTATTTAATAATTTTTCACAATATAGATGAGCTTTTAAAAGAATTTCTGCATACTTTGAGTGTATTTGACAGGAGGCAAAATAGCAAGTTTCTGCCCTAGCAGAAAATGAGCAGGTAACAGAACTTGGGGCTCATTATCTTGGACGTAAGTAAAGGGTCGACGATTTATCACTGCGTCAATTTCAGTCAGTACAGTTTCCAATTCTTCAGGTAGCAGTGATATACTACCAAGAATTTTTCTTAATATTATTTTGACGGATCATACAAATCTCTCGTAAAATCCACCACCCCACCAGGCTCCTCTTTCGATGATATACCTCCATTGAATGCCCTTTGCTGCATAATAATTCTTGACATCGGAATGGCTTAATACCTGCCACATCTTTCTGAGCATTGCATCAGCTGCCTTGAATGTATGCATGTTATCTGAGTATATTAAAGAGCACAGCCCTCTTCTTGATATGAATTGACGAAAAGCAAGTAGGAAAGATTTAGTTGTGAGATCTTTTGTTAGTTTAAGATGAATGCCTTTAGTTACTGACTGCGCAGGTAAATAATAGGATATAATACTTTGTATCTTCATTTTTCACAAAAAGTGGGCCTGCATAATCCAGTCCTGTAACATCAAAAGGATTTGCTTTTTCAATCCTAGATGGGGGTAATGGCGCTATGATTTGTCGCATAGGTCTGGAGTTTTAACGCCGACACAGTTCACAGTTTCTTATGATACGTTTCACATTTTGTCTGGATCTAATTATCCAATATTTTTCACGGAGGAACATGAGAGTACTAGCTACACCTGTAAAGAACTCGTTCATGTGCATCTCGTATCAGAAGATTTGTAAAATGAGTTTTTGAAGGAATAATTATAGGATGCTGTTCATAAAAACTTTTGATTTTTGTAGTCTTCCTCCTACTAACAAAACTCCTTCCTCACTTAGAAAAGGATTCAGTTCATAAATTTTTGATTTTTTTAAAATTAACTGTCCGGACTTTAAACTATTAATTTCATCAGAAAAATTTTCATATTGAACTTCTTTTATCAAATGTAATTCTACGACAAAGAGTTCTTCTGCAATCAAGGGTCCTGTTTTCTTGTCAGTTTTATTTTTCAGATTGTGGATAAATCTAAATATCCATGCAGTCACTCTAATAGCTCTAATTAATTTACTATATTTTTCAAGATCCTACAGAGAATTAGATTTTTCTGCAATAATAGATGGTAGTATTGTGGTATCATTTATACACTTTTTTCGCTCTAATTCAGCATCAGAAAATTCCGTTGTCGCAATAAATTTACTAGGCCAAGCACTCGTTGATTCAACTAACCAGTCTGGTCCAAACTGACATAATCTGGAAGACAACAAATATTCGTCTGAACATCCTCGAGATAAAATGTCCGCTGGATTGGACTTCCCATTACAGTGTCTCCAGTTATTTGGGCAAGTTAATGATTGTATTTCAGATACTTGATTTTTTACAAACATTTTCCATTGTTCAGGAACACTATGAATCCAGTGAACCACTTTAATACTATCAGTCTACAGATAGATATTTTCTTCATGAATTGAAAACAGCTCTTTTAAATTTTTAGCAAGTCTTGCCGATGTTAATGTTCCTAACAACTCTTGCCTTGGTAGTGCGAGTTTTTGTTTTATTGTTGCAATTCTAGATTTTGCTATAATGAATCCTACCTGCCCTTCTTCAACCGATCTAAAATATGCAACTGCGTACGCTTTAATAGATGCATCACAAAATAAATGCTGTTTGATGTCTTTATTTTGATTTAATTTGCCGGGGAAATATTCTCAAATTATTTCAAATTTCTTTAATTTTTCGATTTCACGGCTCCATTTGGACCACAATTGTTTACAGTCAGTTGGAACTTCGTCGTCAAATTCTAAACCCAAGTGCCAAAGGTTTTGCATTATCAGTTTTGCACATAATACAAATGGCGCCAAGAAACCTACTGGATTGAAAATAGTAGCAGTCATCTTTAATATATTTCTTTTTGTGGTGTTTCTACAACTATTTAATGTTTCACACAAGTTATCTATGTTCAAGGAAATTACATCATCAGTACATTAATCTCGTACACCAGTTAAGCCCTAATACTTTTAAGGAGCTATTTATTTCACTTTCTGATTTAATTACTCCACAATCATCCCAATGTTTTTTGAGTTTCTCTGTATTAAACTGATGCAAATTCATTCCGGCATCTTTAAGCATGCAATAGGCTCTAGTACTTAACTTAAAAGCCTGTTCCACGGAATCTGCCCCATAGAAAACATCATCTAAGTAGATCAAACAGTTCAACATCTCAAAAATATCTGGATTTTCTAAATCTATTTTTCTTTATATTCTTTTTTTATAGTGCACGCCAGAATGAAAGGGCTACATGAAACACCGAAAGGAAAGGGTGTCATTCTACAATGTTTCAAAATGTAATTATTATCAAGGTATAAAAACCGCAATACATCTCTGTCAATTTCAGAGATTCCAATCTGGAGAAAGGCCTTTTCAATATCTGCAGAGAACGCATGTTTGTATTTTCTGAACCGCAATATGAAGTATATAATATATTTACAAATTTTAAGAAATAACTCTTGTATTTATTTTACTTCTATTACATATTTTTTGGATCAAATTTTTATTTGCTTTTATTTTTCCATATGTTGGATTGCTCTACTGTTTTGTTTTCTGAAATTGGTTCACTTAAACAGTGTAAAGTACTCAAACAAATCATGGCATCTGGTATAATGAACGCTTTCTGCCAAAAAAAACTTTCTTAATAAATAAAGTTAGGAAGAAAAGCATGAAAGCAGTCAATTTAGTGTGGATAGTAATCCCCACCCAAATCTGTGATTTTCAACCGATGTTTTGGTAGTTTTTCAAAGCATTTGGCCCATAAACTTGGTGGTCGCAAGTCAAAAAAAAAAAAAAACAGATCAACCTCATTTCAGATGTCCTTTGCAGAATGGAAGATAGCGCCAGCAAGAAGTTGGTGCAGGTGTGGAAAGAGGTAGAAGTCCGAAGGCACAATGTCAGAGCTATATGGTGAGTTTGTCTAAAGATTCCATTCGAATCTGTACAGAGTCTAGCCGGTGAATGCAGACACATGTGGTCTTGTATTATCTTGATAGATCATTACCTTTTTGTGCCTGAACTCAATTCAATGTTTTTCGTTAATAGCAGCATCAACGTTGACTAGCATCTCACTGTACATCATTGCTGTCGAAGGTTTTATCTTATTCCAGATCATCTTTGTGGATAATTCCATGGCAATCCTACCAGATGCAAGACATGATCTTTTTGTTAGTCAACTTGAGCATTGCGGCACAGCCAGGGGGGCTCACCGGGCGCAGATCAACCCCCTTTTCAGCCTGTGCTGTTGAAGTAAATCCACTTTTCATCACAAGTGATGATTTGGTCCAGAATTTTGTTTTTGTGTTTATATTCGAACAGATTAGTGCTCAAACATGTCTGTCTGTCTGAAAGGGGGAATCAAATCTGTTAAAAAAGGATGAAAGGGACCAAGAAAAAAAGACGAAGATGCCACCATGTTTTTTAGAGGCTATTCAAGATAGAATGAACATTGTTGGATAGATACAAATACAAGATAGAACACAATTAATATATCTCTAATGAAATCGAAGAAATATGTTTAAATTAATTGCAGCAAAAAATGTCTATAATTGAATAGACCATACAAGAAAGTTATGTGGTGTCCACATTAGATATTTTATATATAAATACTGCATATTTCATATGAAGTACTGACTGCATTTTGATTCATTTCAGTAAATTTCAGATTTCACTTCGAAAAATTTTATGTTTTACTTTTTATAATTAAATGGTATGTATGCATAATGATTTTATAATCCTTTGCGTTAATTTTTTCATCGAGTTAATCTCTTTTATATAGGTTCTGCATTTTCTTGGGGTATGGGAACCAACCATCAACTAGGACATGGAAATGATGATGATTGTCATGTACCTCGACGTATTGAAGGAAACTTAACTTCTTGGAAAGTAATTAAAGTGTCTGGAGGTGGACAACATACACTCATATTAGCTTGTCCTAAAAATAATGCTGAAGAAAAGCAATAAGCAGTTTAAAACCTATTATTTAATCTTTTGAGTTTTAAGAAAACTGTAACAAAATTTTAAGAAATATTTGAAAATTTTGAGATTGTCATGTATAAATTATTTTTGCCAAGCCTTGTTTACTAACTGTTTTTACCAGAATTCATCTTTGGAACATATGTACAGTTTACTCAGAATACTATAAAAGGAGCATTTTAATATCAGCTTACAAGAATTATATAAAATTCAAGTCCCATAAGCTGTTTTTCATTATTTTAATTGCATCTGAAAATGTAAATTATTTTTATATAAAAGTCAGTTTTATGTGATTTCAAACAGCATTTTCGTAAATTAAGTGTAAAAGAATTAAAAAAGTGTATCTGAGTGCTTGCAGTGTCATTCATGCATTCTAATCTCATTTATTTTCTGCTGTTTGATAAACATAGGAAATACACCTATAGTAGACCATAGGATGTATGTTAAAGGTATATCAGATAAAATGGCATACCTGCTAAATTTGGCAAGTGTTTCATGATTTACACAAAAATTATTTATTCCAGTTCAAAATATACTCGATCCATTTTCTATGAACTGTCAAATCCTTATTTTAAATGCAAACTCTAGACAGAATTTAGATTACTCTCACATTTATTGCATCAAAAATCACTTCTTTTATGTTGAGAATTTGAATTTTTCATTTTTTCATCAATGAATCAATAAATTCATTGATGAAAAAATGAAAAATTCAAATTTTTCATTTTGCAAATTCAAAACTTATTTAAGTTAAAAATTATTGGTATGATAACGTTTTAAATAAATAATTAATATTTTAAAATTTTTAAAGTAAAAGTAGTATATTGAAATTGCGTAAGTTTTTTTATTATTATTATATTTCCTACTCTGATACTTAAGATGACTTTAAATTTCAAAACTTAAAGATTTAAAAAAAATTTCAATTTTCCTGATTGCCAAGTTTAAGAATGCAATAGATCTTACAAAACACAGGTTTCAAATTCTGTATTAGCATGGAAAAGAAAAGCTATGTATATAAAAATATTTGTCTAATTTTCCATTTTCATATGATAACTGAGCTCTCTCATGCTTCAAAATGTTCAGATTTATTTGGTTTTCTGAGTACAGTTTACTTTATCCCTTTGTGAATATTTTACAGAAATCATGATTCTCTCTTCAAATTGGCAGATATAAAATGAAACAAGTAAACAATTTTATTTGTATGAGATACTACAAATAGATAAAGCCACTGAATGCTAATAGTTTAATCTTAATCTTGTTTTGACAACTAAGACGGCTGGCTGCAGAGTGCTTTCACAGTTTTCCCCCAGTTTAATAAAAACACAATTTAGTTCCTTATGCGATGCTTTTATGCCACAGTATGAGAAACTGAGGACTTTGTAAGAAATATTCATATTCCAAATTTTTTAGCACTACTTGAGGCCGAGTGGTTAAGACCACTGAATACTGTAGTTTCAACCCATGTGAATGGGTTTCCTGCATGTTGATTTTCATGGTTTTTCTTTCCCGTATGAAACAGGTACCTGTTAAAAAGTCATCCACACAGGCATCCCTCTTTCTGATAGCCCTGGTGTTCTTTATCATATTCGAATACCCTGACCTAATCATCAAAGTTTTGGGAAAAAAATTGTTCTCCAAATTTTCCAAGTTGAATGAAAGAAACACAAGAAACAAATGAAAATTATGATATTACTTATACTGTAATCTTTGTACATTGTGATTATTACAAATTGTAATATTTTACATAGCTAGGTTTTCATTCAAAAATTAAAAGCTTCTGGTTTAATATCCAGTCTATTCCTGTTCAAAAATTTCCATACTCTAATCCCTTTATATACCTTAATTTTATCGACAACATTTAGATAATGTATATACATTATAATGTTGGAAAGGAATGACGTCTCAAGTTTAGTTAAACTTCATTCACTCTTGTGGATTTAACAATCACCAGTAAGTTGGCAACATGCAATTTTCAAAAATGTTTTGAGGTAATTTATACCACATAATTAACACTTGACACCTGGGAAAATCGTTTTAGTATTTTACATTGCTTAACTCTATTTATCAAAATTTGACAGGAAGTCATGTACAGGACCATGACATTCGCCTGCACAAAATTATGGCGTGAAGTGCAAGCAGACACTTTGAAATTTAGTTTTTTATTATTATTATTATTGTGTTTCTAGATAAAATGTGGGCTAGGAAGTTATCAAAGGGGATAGGAAGAAATTACTAGAGGATCACAAAATTGAGATAGCAACGAATCACAGTGGACGAATTATGAGAGAAACTGAGATCTAGTGAATCTCAATCAGAATCTAATAGCCTTTGAGACAAAGAAAAGATGAAAGAAGATGGCCCTTACAGAGTCTTATACATACTATGATATTTTTGTGGAGGGAAATTTCACATTGAAACTATAAGATCTTTCTCGTCGTTTTCCACTTAGGACATCAACTTTGTATGCTCTTCTTTGTCCATGTATCTTAAAATTCAATTAAGTTTTTATATGTTTAATATTTTTTTATGTAATGATTTTCATCTGTTTTATATTATGAACTAGTGCATAAAGTACTGTTGTGAAGTATAAATGAACAATCATCTGTGATAAAGGAATGTATTACAGAAGTTGTTTGTACATTTTTTAGACAATTTTGCTTTGCTGGGGGGGGAACTGCTTGGAATTTCTTCTTTTAACTGTAGCTATATTTTTGACAGTGTAAATTGTCGTCTGTTGCTTGAGAGTTTTGTTTTCATGCAAAATGTCGCTTTTAAAGAAGCAATGGGTGGAAGGCTATGTTTGTGTTCATTCCGAAGAAAATTATTTGTATCTAGCTTATAAAAAAATGTTGTGAAAGGCCATGTTTTTCTTCTCTCTCTCTCTCCTCCTCTTTTTTTTTTTTTTTTTTTTTTATCTAAAGCTGCAACAGGTAATGTTGTCAATAACCAAAGGAAAAAATGTGATAATTTAGCTTCAAGTGGAAAAATTGTTCCAGATAGTCATCTGAGGAAAAAACAGAATATTTCAATTGTTGCAAAAGTAAGATTTTTAATGTTAAAAGAAAATCCTCCAAGACAAAGGTTGCAAAATCATTAAAATGCTCAGTGCCAACTGTAAACAAAGTGACTAATGATAATTTGAATCTTGAAAACGTGGGAAAAAAACCTAAAGTGCATCGTCTTTCTGCACAGCATATCATAGAATGCACTGCAGAATTCTTTATGAGAAACATTTATCCAGACAAAAATGGAAAAATGTTGTCACAATAGACTAATCTTAGGTGTACTTAAATGGCTGCAATAAAAAGAGATCCATTTATTATCATCAAAGATGAGAAAAAAATCTTAAAACAGGGTGTTCAAGGTATCTGAAGAAGGTTTTTCTGAGAGATTTATGATTGTTGCCGGGTTTTCATATAACGGCAAATTAAAAATAAAGAGAGTGGAGAGAAATGTTAAGATCAACTTCACATATTATCAAAAACATATTTTATACCTCATTTTCACATATGAAATATCTTCTCTTTACACACAGTAATCAATTAGTAGAACTGCATCAAGGCAAAGCAACCCATCAAAATCTATTGTTGATTTCCTGGGGAAAATGGAGCAAGAAACGGGTATCAAGGCCATACCCTGCACTCATATCCCTACTAAATCTCCTGATCTATCACCAATGTATTTTTGCACTTCTGGATTAAATTTAGCCCAAATCGGCTGAAGGTCCTTTATTTTAATTATCTGAAATTTCTGTCTGTTTTTACGATTGCCGTTTTGAGTGTGAATTAGCATTTTAAAGGAATATGTTTAACGATGATTTAACAAATATGGTTATCTTTTGAATGGGTTCATAGGTTATAATTTGCTCCTATTTCCAATATAAATGGTGGGATACTCGAGTTTCTGAGTAGAAGTGAAAGATAAGCATTTCTAAATTATTTCTTTTCTTTCTTTCTTTTTTTTTTTTTTTTTTTTTTTTTTTTTAATGAAGAGCTCTTAAACAACTTTTCGATTTTGGAGCTGTAAATTCTTTTATTAAATGGTTCTAAATTTGGCTATTTTAAAATCAGTTTCTATAAAAAAGTTTTAATTTCAAGATCTGGGAATTTTTCGACCTTTTTTTTAACACATTGTATCAGGTTGTCCGGAAAATAATGCAGGTTTTTGCAATTGTTTATTTTTCCTGCATTTTTTTAGCAACAAAAATATTTTGAATTACATTGGTGTATATATCATTTTGAAGCTCTATATTTCTATAATAATCATTTTGTTCCAAAATTATTTTCAAAAATATTTACTAGGGGTTTTTGTTTAGATGTCAAAACGGAATTTTCTACAAATTTACTTTTATGAGTACAAGCTAGGCCACAGCACAGCACAAACGGCTCAAAATGTCAGCAAAGTATGGGGTGAGAAAAGTTAATGAATCTATAGTTCAAGGGTGATACCAAAAGTTTCGTTGTGGAGAATTTGATCTGGAAGATCAAGAGCATTGTGGACGCTCTTCAGCTGTTGATGACGATGATTTGAAGACTTTAGTTGAGTTGAAACAAACCCGTGCACAACTGTTCTAGAGCTTGTGGAGGAGCTTGGTGTACGCAAAACAACGATTTCTGATCACTTGAATCATATAAGAAAGTCAAGCTCAATAAGTGGGTGCCTAAAGAATTGAGCGAAAATTTAAAAAATCGCCGTTTTGAAGTGCTCTTCTTCTCTGCAACAAAAATAACCTTTTTCTGTATCAAATTGTTACGTGCGATGAAATGTGGATTCTGTCCAACAACTGGCAATATTCAGCTCAGTGGTTGGACCGTGGTCAGATACCACAACACTTTCCAAAGCCAAATTTGCACCAAAAGAAAATTGTGGTGACTGTTTGGTGGTCTGAGGCCAGTCTCATCCACCACAGCTTCCTAAGTCTGTGTGAAACAATTTTAGCAGATAAGTACTGTCAGCAAATGAACAAAATGCACCAAAAATTGCAACGCATGTGCTCAGCATTGGTCAACAGTAAGTGGCCAGTTCTTCTCCATGATGATGCTCAGCTGCGCGTCTTGCAACTGACCCTACAGAAATCGGACGAATTGGGATACAAGAATCTCCCTCTTCCCCCATATTCGCCTGACCTCTTGCTGACCGATTACCACTTTTTCAAACATTCTGCAGAAGAAATGCTTCGGAAACCAAGACGAGGTCAAAAATGCCTTTGACAACTTTATCACGTCCAGAACTCTAGAATTTTATTCTACTGGCATATATCTCATTGGCAAAAATGCATTGATTCGGCTGGTGCTTATTTTGATTAATAAAATTGTTTTTGAGTTGAGTTATGATACTTTAAAGATATAGGTTGA